ATGTTCTTTTTAGTTAATGTGATATGCAATACTTTTCCTTATATCGTTTTATTTCAAAAGAAGGGGGATGTAGTATTCTTACATTCTGCTAAGAACCAATCATATGCATAGACAGAGTATCCTGTGTTCTTATTGGCCATGTCAGTAAAATGATGCAATATAGCTTTGAACAGTCCAGTATGCATCTTGCAATTAAAGAGTTAGCACTCATGTTTGCATGTATGATCTGAGTTAATAAATCCTCATGATAAAATGACTTCGGCGTGCACCTAGAGTTTCCTTGAATACCTCATCATATTAAAAGCAAAAGCATTACACCCCCCAATTTCAAGTTCGTTTGTTATGATTTTTTTAACCACACGCCGTCCTCGCCACGGAGGAGCAGGAGATAGTCTGTGCCGATGCGCGCGTCCGCGTCCAGGTACGTCGCGTCCACACACCATAGTCCACACTCTAAACTCATAGCTCACTGAAAGTTCTAATAAACAGGTATCGCGCTTATTGAAGCGTCAAAGAGAACTGTTCACAGACAGCGCTCCAGAATCCAGTTCTCTTTCGCGCTTGAATAATAACACACACATTTATGCCAAAATGTCCGTTTTGTCAATTGTATCCTCACAAGAACAGTCATAAATGAGTAAAATAAAATCTTAAATGAACGTCAAGAGTAAATGAGAAAATTGAATGCGAAAGATCCTGTCATCAGCGACAGATCTTAAAGGGACAGCAGCCAATTCTCTCTGTCAGTAAAGTTGACCAAAGAACAAAGGGGAATAGAGCAAATTACTCACTGATTTTGTCTAAAGAACGTTTGTAGCTTTAATAAGGATTATTCTATATATAATTTATAATTTATGCAGTGCAGACTATTTGATAACCTTATTCAATTTCTGTATATTTCGTACCTGTTAGACAGGAAGCGCACAGGTAAATATGACATTTATTATGGGTTTATGTGAGGATTGTTTAAAGTTCACTTAAATTAAAAGTTGTTGATATTTTTGAAGCCTAATAAATGTTTCAAATTTGGGGTGGAAAATCCTTTTCATCAAGACATCAGTAGCTATATTAATATCAATGATACTGGATTACTCACACAGGTCAGTTTATTAGACGAATTAAACTTGTGAGGTAACGCAGCGCTGCTTCACTTGGTCTAACGTTACACTATCACAATAAACGGCATTTAAATGTGTGTTGAAAGTTATAATGTTATACTACGTGTTAGTTTGTTTGCTATACGAAACTAGCAGTAAGCTAGATCAACATTAGAATAACATACTGACCATATTCTAACATTTCATCATGTTGAGCTAACGTTATATAACATTGATTTGTTTTATGTACATTTGCTCACCTGTCTAATAAAGCTGTCAGGTCGTGACTCGTGAAGCTCTGTCGAGTCCAAGTTAGTCGCGGACGTGGAGCTCTCGTCATCTCAAAAACGCCACGCTGATATTGATCCTCATTTTAGTTCTCCTTGTTTGTCCCAAAGTCTGCTTGCCATGGATGGTCTACGTTTGAACGAAACAAGAACTGCGTGCCGCCAGAGAATGACGGGCTCTGGTGCCGCTAAACGTTACGCACTACGCAGTTGTCCACGTCTGTCGCCATGGTTATGTCATGGCTATGGCAGTATGAACGGAAACCGAGGATAGCGCGGATATTGCGTCATTGACAGGCGACATTTTTTTCCTGGACGGCCAATTATTTAAAATGTGAATTTCTCTGAAATAAAAAATCTTTGGAGACTTTTGGGATATTTTAAGTACACAACTGCAGGAAATATATCACACTGTGCAAGTGATTTTTGGATATTTTATTACAAAAGTCTTACATATTGTGCCTTTAATGATGAAAAATTTTGACTTTATAAAATGATTCTCTCAAGTCTTGGCAATCGGCCCCTATTAAACAATAAAAAAGTAAGAAATTTTTTGGTTATACATAGTTTAGTAGCCTACTTTTATTTTTGGCAGAATTTATCATTATAATCAACTTAATTATTTCCTGGATTTTGCATCACCATAGTCCCTAAATGTATGTAAATGCAGGAAATGGGATTCAAATCGTAAAAAAATGTCCCCCATTTTGTGTCCCCCCCCCCCACTTCTCAAACCAAAGTTACACCCTTGACGTAAGTCAAAACACTGAGGAGAACTAAGGGCTTAAATACACAAGGAGAGGTAAATGAGGTAACTAAATAAACAACAGGTGAACGTAAACAGTAACTAAAGGGAAACAAACTGGCACACACACTATGGCTGAATCCGAAATCGCCCTCATACCTTTAAATTTGTGTATTATTTTAGCAGAAATAGTAAATTAATTTGAGTATTTTGTATATGTGTATTATTTTAAATTTGAAAGTAAAGTAAAAAATACGTTATATTATAATCTGCGCAAACCCGTCGTTGCCTTTCTTTGATGACGATGCAGGGCTTTTTTAAATAAATGATTATTGTAAGCAAAGTCCACTTCAATGGATATGCTCAGGGTGAAGGGAGCAGTGAATACTGCATAGGGACCCTTTCAATCGGAACGCACCTTAGGTCATCTTACAATGACACGGAACACAGGCAAACAGGAACAGGAAAAACAGAACCAAAACACAATGAAGCTAAACATACATTGAAATACATGTTACATTGTCAGGGTAGCACTATGTTTCATTTTTGACCAGATTGAAAACAAGGCTGTGAGGGATAGAAGTACAATGGATTGTATGTTGTTTAAAAACATGCCACAATTTCAAATGACAAAACATCTTCCCAAAACACTATCAACAGACAAAAAAATCATTTTGTGAGTTACAGTTAAAGTTAGTAAAATTATTACATTATTTTTATACAATGCATGCCATTGTAAAGACTGTAAGTCTATACCTCACCACCTTATTTTTATCTGTGTAAAATTCAATATGGCATCTATCCTGACTAATGCCTTTTTTTATTAAGAAAACCAAATCAGTTTAAATTCCAATCAGCTTTCTCAACATTCTAACAGGAAGTAATTTTAAAAAAGGGAAGAGGCTATAAAAATAAAATAAAAATAAATATCTGCACAGACTATATAATATAATAAATAATATCACAAAGATATTAACAAATGATAAATAATGTTTTTATCATTTTTGATAGGACTTTCATATCCATTGAACATTGGATATTGAACATTGGATATTAAACCAAATAATTCTTATAGACTACAAACAGGAGAGATTTTTAAAAAAAGATTCTACATTTGTGGATAAACAGCTTAGCCATTAAAAATATAATTAAAGCTACAATATGTACGATTTTTGTAATAAAATATCCAAAGATCACTTGCACAGTGTGATATATTTCCTGCTGTTATGTACTTACAATGTCCCAAAAGTTCCCAAAGATTTTTAATTTCAGAGAAATTCCAATTTTAAATAATGGCTCGTCCATGTTCACTTGTCGCCTGTCAATGACGTAATATCCGCGTTATCCCTGGTTTCCGCTCGTACTGCCATAGTAACCATTGCGACAGACGTGCACAACTGCATTACGTCTAGCGGCACGCTCATGCTGTTGTTGTTTCTTTCAAACATTATGGATCTTGGCAAGCAGACTTTGGGACAAAAGGAGAACTAAAACGAGGATCAATATCAGCGTGGTGTTTTCGAGATGCCGAGAGCTCCACGTCCGTGACAAACTTGGACTTGACAGAGACACCGCTCTTGTACTTTATTAGACAGGTGAGCACATGTACATAAAACTAATCAATGTTATATATCTCAACATGATGAGATGTTAGAATATGATCAGTAGCCTATGTTATTCTAATGTTGATCTAGCTTACTATAGTCTCATACAGCCAACAAACATAACTTTCAACACACTCAAATGCTGTTTAGTGTGATAGTGTAGTAGACCAAGTGAAACAGCGCTGCATTACCTCACAAGTTTCAATCGTCTAATAACTGACCTGTGTGAGTAGTCATGTTAAAAAACATCAATGTAATCACTCATCCATAAACATTAGATCATCCATCAGGATGACGGCAAGTTTCATGTAATTCCGCTTATGCGTCATCAACCTACGCCTTTGTTATTGTAAGAGGTTAGCGACCCCTAGCGGCGCAAAAAAACAAACATATTGTAGCTTTAATAAAAAAAACTGACCGCCTTCTTCAAAATTACTAATGTGTCTAAGCGCGACGAATCACGGTGAGCGCCTCCACTACATCGATTAGTTGACTACCCTCCCATGTGCCCAACAACAGGTAGGCTAAGTTAAAATGGACAGTCTGTCTGTGTAAAACTCACCCACTTGGATATGACCGTTTTTAGTCAAACCTGAATTGAAATGAACTTGATATACTTCCTTTTGGTTATCAGTTAGCCCATATTACCTGCGAGAAGTAAACCTTCACGTGCTGACGACCAGTTTCTGCATTGGAGGTTGCAAATTAATGATCCGTCAAATCGGTAATACAAAATTAAGTATTTTTTTTTTTTACTTTGAGGGCAGTGAATAAATTTGGGCGGGGGGAGACCCCATCCCATCCTCGACCACATAACGTTAAGCGAGGAAATTAAGGCAGCATTATTGGTCCAAAAGGGTAAGTGAGTAAAGGTCGAACACTTGTTTAAAACTTGAGATTTCGATATTAGGTTTTCTTATAAAGTACCTTCATATAATTTTAGCTTGTTGTATAATTATAAAAGTCTTTAATCCAGAAACATCAAGCGGATTTGGCTGGACAAATTAAACTGGACAAAAACGGAGAAAGGGGAGTTATGCCTCATTTCAAAAGACCACCACCACACACCACTACACTGTAGCTACAATATTGTGTGATAGTATTTAAGAAAGGAGAGAAGTCTGAAAGTTCCCCTGAGGAAGCTTTCACGCGCGCCGCCGTTAGTGTGAATGACACGCGCTTTCCTGGAGAGCCGTTTGTTTGTGACGCACGGGTGAGACCGTTGAGCTGCGCGAGCCGCGAGGTGCTCAGTATTGGTTCAGCTCAGCTCGGGAACACCGGGGAGCGAGAAGTACGGTACTAATGTTGGGCTCGGAGGACCACGGAGAGACTCGCAAACGCAACGGTACGGGTAAGCACCCCTTTCATTCATTCGCTATACTTTCATTATGCCTCTCAGTTTAGATTGAAACTGCAGGTGTGGGACCAAACCGAATGGAGGATAAGTTTGGATGCGCGAGTGACATGCTGTCTGACGAACTCATCAATCATATTTTTGTTGTCAAATACAGACTGTGATGAACTTATATCGCAAGAATGTAGAAACAATGTATAAAAAGTATAACTGTAGAAGGAATTATTTTGGGAATAAATCGTTTTTTTTTGTCGGTGCTTCGCCGAGCTCTGTGATAAAGAATTGCCATGTTTACTCTGCTGTCAAAACAGGCAATATTCCCCTGGCATCCTGCAAATGGATGAAACTTCGTGTGAATGCTTCACACAATCGCATTGCTTCAGACAAGCAGTATTACGCCGTCATGATGAATGTGCCTTGACATTTATCATATTTTTCAGTTCGTTGATTTTAGTACAAGCAGATTAAGGGGAAATAAGAGGAGGGTCTTGCTTTCCATCATCATCATTTATAATTTAAGAAAAAATATAACCTGTATTTTAATATATTTTTTCATACTTTAGTTTATCAAAGTTGAACTATGAGCTGCATTTTGTGATTTTTATTGTGATTTTTATGGGGAAAGTTAACACATTAATTCCAGTAATTTGGCATATTGATTTGGTTAGTGTGCTGCAAATTTGATGTACCTGCTCAAGATGACCCACCTGTGGTTTAAACTCTTATCTAAAAAATGACAACATGGCATCTTATCAGGCAGAAAACAAAGCAGGGCACTTCCAGTAAATGTGCTGAAAATGGGTGTTGCACAACTTGTCCTGGATGTTCTACCACCATTGTGAGACGGGACTAACCCACAACCCTACCTCAAACCAAAACATGACAAGGATACGTATACTGCGGGTTGGTCATCATGAGAGATAAGTCAGATTCACTGATGTGGTCTGACTCTCATTGCTTGCATGTTTTCTTTCTTTACTTGGGATGAATCGTCTAGGAGCAAAAACATTTAGTCGGATGGATTTAAATGCGATCACCTTTTTCTGATTTGAATGTGTATTTGGTTGGTGTGCTCTCTCAGTCTTCACTTTTGATTATATTTAGGTGAATTAGTTTGGATTAGAAATGTTCATTTCTTTGGAGATGCTGATGTCTTAATGCATCACATTTACATTTCAAATCATTCATTCACTTATTATCTTTAATCATAATTTGAAATTGCTGAACACCCATTTTCCACATTTCACAGTGGGAGAGTGAAAGCATCGCATAGCAGGTGTGCGGATCAGAGATGCTCATCTGTCTCTTGATGCAATATGAGAGATGATGCATAGAATCAGAGCCAGTTGAGTTTATTTGTCCACTCTGAAGGGTTTGACCATTTTAAATTGTTTTCAATACCATACTTATTTAACATCGCTATTTCACTCTTTAATTATGCATGAAACGTGCGAAGGTGGGTTGCAGTGTCTGTCACGGACATATTGAACATAAAAAGCTGTGTTACTTATCAGGACGTAAACTGATCACAATTTAAAGCAGTGCTTGGGCTTTTTCAAGCACAGACATTTTGAAGAACACAATAACTCTAAATAACATAATACACCTCTTCTCCACGAGCTGCGTGAATGCCACATTTTGATCTACCGGTAAGAGAGGAAGTGCTTCATTCTATAGGCTCAAGGCCTTTGCTTCTGGGAGAACACTAAGAAGATGATTTAAGGATCTTTGCTCAGCATTAAAGGGGTCATGAACTGCATTGTTTTATCATTTTTCCTGTAGTGCATTTATAATGTTACAATGATTTTTATATAAAAAATTATCATAAATTAGAAATAAAAAGCATTTTTACTATCCTGATTTTATCCTCTGATTTGAATGCTCTGTGAGACTTCAGTGTAAATGCCCACTCCTGTGATTGGCTGATATCTTTGCATATGAAATAAGTATTACAAGTGGAACCCTCTCGAAAACTTTTAGCACGCTTTTACTATTATAGCTCTCAAGGTTAACTAATTGAGTAAAGTGTTGATTTATGTGATTTAAGTGTTGAAAGTGTTGACGTGTTGATCTATGACATTATATTTATATTGTGGCATGAAAGGTTGCAGTGATGAGCATTGCAATGTGATGATCTTGTCATTGCAACTCGATTTCTGCACACTAACGAATGCTTTCATCATTCAAAACTAACAGAGCAAACACAATGTAAATAAGATGTTCGTTGATTATCACGGGAGTTTTGATGCGAGTCCAGAACTCAGTCACTGATAAACACGCACTGTTTGATTGACAGCTCCAGCGATTGCAAAGGGAGTGTTCTTTGATTGCGTTCTATATCGAATTTAATCGCAGTTTAAATAACAGATTATTTTCATCTTACTAAGAGAAACAATGTGAAGCCCGTTAACATTAGACCGTCAAGTCACTCACTGGTTTGATTTACTGGCACATAGACAAAGATCATCTGACTGTACATGAATCATTACATATCAGAAATCACTGATCACAGATCAGGCATTAGAATGAACAGTTAGGCTACTTACTTACATGTTGTGGCATGTCGAGTCTATATCGTAAAAGTCTGTTTACAAAGCCTGTGCCAAAATTGCGACTGTTTTACCAAAGAATCCACAGTGAAATGTACAGCATAAAAATACATAATGCTCAACTGAGACATTCACATTGTTGAAAATAAATAAAATAATCACATTCCTAGTATTAGGATCTTTTGGAAGTTAATGTTATTTGTGGTCCATCCTGTATAGCTCTCCTCTCGTCATCTCAACACGCCAGTGGGCGGGGCCAAAGTTGCGACGATGAAGGCGTTGATTTTCTTCTGCAAAGGTGGTCTTTTACTACCTTATTACATCATAAAGAGGCACATTCCAGGACGAGTCGTTCTCTGGGCTTGGTAACAATAAAAGTGGTTTTTGTACCAACAAGGAAGTTTTCAGATATTATTATAATACAATTACCCCTTATATGTAAAAAGCTCAAGGAAAATTTGATTTCAAAGTTCATGGCCCCTTTATTTAACAAACCACTTTCCTACTCCAAGGCGAGCTATGTTGGTCTTGACGTTTACTGGATGTTGATAAACTTCTTGTGTTCCTGAACAGCCGCGGTGCAAACAAATAAATCACACCGGGAAGAAATGCGCTCAGCTGGGGCAAGATGATGTTTATGCACTCCCTTTTCCGCAGCGATTGTGACTAGTATGCACCTTGCTTTCTCCTCTTCTGTAGATTCAGTCCTGCAACTGGTCTCAGTTATAAAATACAAACAGAACTGATTTATGAATACAAATATGCTTTTTGATTTGTTGGCAAGGGGTTGTAAAAGTCCACACAAGTGAGTATGCTAGCTATCAGGATATAGCGTGAAGAGGCAGCAGTTGATTCTGTTGGCAGTACAGGCTTGTGGAAAGGCTGGATTTTCTCACATTCTCCTCCAATCACTGTATAACATTGGAGATCTAATAACAGACTCCTATATTTTGGCAATATATCAGTGATATGCTTATTTATGTTTTGACATTCTGCCTGTGTCTCTTTTTAAAGGATTTAGTTTAGATGCAGTACATCTATCTCATCTTTTTATACAGAATTTTACAGAAAATTGTTTTAATGGCGCAGTAAGGAGCAAGAAATGAACATATAGTACACGAGTATATTCAAGCAAGAGTTCGTTGTTAGTCACCTGCAGCACAGCAACTCCAGACAAACAATGAGTACATTTACATGCACTTTCTTAAAGCAACACCAAGGAACTTTTCCTCTGCGGTCGCCCTACAGGTTGGAAGCGGAATTGTCCATTAGGCCATCCTTAAAAATATTCTTGTTTGCCGTAACCCGACCGACCCTGTCAAATTAGGACCGACCCAATTATTTATTTTTTTCCCCTTTTAGTCCGACCGACTTGCCGGTTGTAAACTTGCATTAAGACCGACCGATTTTTTTTTTTACTCTTCAAACAACTAATACAAATGCAATAAAATAATATAAATTATATTATAGTAAGTATTGTGAATATAAATTGCGTAGGCTACGTTCTTTCTTTTAAATAAAAACCCGTGGCGTCATCTATTATGATTATGTTTTAGGGCTGCAACTAACGATTATTTTGATAATCGATTAATCGGACGATTATTTTTCGATTAATCGGATAAAAAATTCTATTAGATTTTTTGTTTATTATGACTAAATAAAACCCGGTTACACTTTATTTTAAGGTGTCCTTGTTACAGTGTAATTATATATTTAAGTACAGAGTAATACTACATGTACTTACTATAGGAATAGGGTAGGATTAGGTTGAGGGTTGCATGTAATTATGCATAATTTACTGTAATTACTAGAGTAAGTACATGTAACATATGTAACAAGGACACCGTAAAATAAAGTGTTACCTAAAACCCTAAATTAGGATATTTATGTGTAAAAGTGTACTTTAAAAAGTGCAAAAGCCACACATTGAGTTTTACAAATATCAAAATTTGCATTGTTTTTAATGATAATTGCTGATGGCAAGTTGACAACCATTAATGTAAAAAAAATAAAAACATTTATATCCAACATATTGTTTTAGCACAATTTTTGTTAAAACAAATTTACAGACATGTTGTTCAGATGTGAAGATATAAACTAAAAACATCTCAAATATATAATTCATTTAATTTTTATTAATAAAATTAATTGAATTATAAGGATAATTTGTAAAAATAAATATAGAAAGACTGAAAACAAGCGTGTGAACATAGAGCCGCAGTAGATCGCGTTTGAAAAACAATTAAAACTTAATAGTAGACAAATGCTATATAAAGAGAACGGAATGGAGGTACGCAGCAAGCTAACAGGCTTGATTAAAAAGACAGGAAAAATGATGCATTAGTGCACAAACATTCGCTGAAAACCACTGACTACAGTGACTAAAAAACAATAATTTACTGCTGCTGTTATTAACTGCCTTTATATTTAGTGCTTCGCTTTGTAAAG